CGGTGTGCGGGGGCCGGGTGTTGGGTGTGGGGCCATTGGCATTGCCTGTGTGCAGGGGCCGGGTGTTGGGCGTGGGGCCGTGGGCATTGTCTGTATGTGGGGGCCGGGTGTTGGGCGTGGGGCCGTGGGCATTGCCTGTGTGCGGGGGCCGGGTGTTGGGCGTGGGGCCATTGGCATTGCCTGTGTGCGGGGGCCGGTGTTGGGCGTGGGGCCGTGGGCATTGCCTGTGTGTGGGGGCTGGGTGTTGGGTATGGGCCGTGAGCATCACCTGTGGACAGGTAGGACATGGCTGGTGGCGGGCCCTGTGGCCCCTGCTCATGTCTGGCCTGTCCTTGCTGCCCCAGGTGTTTGGCATGATCTTCACCTGCTCTCTGTACAAGAGCCTGAAGCTGGACCACTACTGAGCTGTCCCGCCCACGTGGACGGCGTTCCTGCCGGAGCTGAAGCTTCTGACTACTGAGCTGACACCATTGACTACTGATTGGGAGGGAGCTGGCCCGGAGTCCACTGCCCGTTCCCCCCCACCACCGCCCCCCACCAAAGTGGTCTCTGGTGACACCCCCTTCATAGCTTTAAGTGCCTCTCACTGCGCACCAAAGCCCCAGGCCTGAGGAAGGGCCCCTGCCCAGCTCTACCTCCAGCCCCCTCACTGCCGTAGGCTGCCTCCTTTGCGCTCACGGGGCCTCTGGGAACTCCTGCTGGTTGTGTTCAGTCGGAGGGACCGGACTGTGGGTGAATTTGGGCAGAATAGGGCAGTGGCCAGGCTGGCCCGCCCTGGGGGGCTCCCCACCACTTAACACCCTGGCGATGGTCGAGGCCCGTTGGGAGGGGTGTGGGGTGCTGCCGGCTGGGGCAGGTGCCTCACCATGGAGTTGCCGTGGGCCGGCCTAGCCGGCCCCACTCTGCTCTGTGTCACCCCCACCCAGGCCTCTGCCTCTCCCCATGCTTGGTGGGGCCACCCCACCCCCATTCCAACATGCCCTGCCTCATTTCCCCACTAAGCCCGTGTCCACTTCTCCATTACCGACTCCCGCTGGGATGCCTGCTCGGTGGCAGGGGGTCCTGTGTTATCACTGCTGTGTCCCAAACGCTAGAGCTGTTCCTGCCACGTCACAGGTGCCAATAAACGTTTCTGGAACTGACTAGTAATGGAGATGGACGGGTCCTGGTGCTTGGGGTCCCCCAGTCCAGCAGGATGGACACACCCACCACCTGGCACCATGACTGAGGGGAGGAGCAGGGAGCTGGGGGGTACCTCCTGGGGTCCAGGGTGGCCCCAGAGGTTGGGGCACACATTGAGAGGCCTGACTGGCAAGGACAGCAAGCAGGGCCCCGAGAGGGAAAAACCCGGTGCATTCTGGGGACAGAAAGATGGTGACATGCCAGAGCAGAGAAGACACGGGGCAGATGGCATAACAAGCCAAGTCCAAGTGTGGCCCTGGACCTGTGCTTCCCAGAGATCCTGCTGCCACTGTGTGTGGACAGACACAGGGAAGGCCAGGAGGAGCTGTGTGTGGACAGATGCGGGAAAGGCCAGGAGGAGCTGTGTGCGGACAGACACCAGGGGGTGGGGGGGCGCCCAGGAGGAGCTGCGTGCGGACATGGGGAAGGCCAGGAGGAGCTGTGTGTGGACAGACGCGGGGAAGGCCAGGAGAAGCTGTGTGCGGACAGACACCAGGGGGTGGGGGGGCGCCCAGGAGGAGCTGCGTGCGGACAGACACGGGGAAGGCCAGGAGGAGCTGTGTGCGGACAGACGCGGGGAAGGCCAGGAGGAGCTGTGTGTGGACAGACGCGGGGCGGGGGGTGGTGGGCAGGAGGCCAGGAAGAGCTGTTGGCCCCCAAGTGGAGATGGAGGAGGTGGCTGAAACAGGGTGGCCAGACCAGTGGTGGAGGCAACGGCCCGAAAAGGAGCCAGGGCCGAGGAGCGAGGGCCAGGCTTGGGCCCGAGCTGTGCCTGGGCAGCTCCTCTTCTGTACCCAGAGGCCCATTTCACCATCCCCCCTCACCCCCACCTTTGTCCTGCGGAGGGCCACCCTGACCTCAGTGCAGGGTGACAGCTCCTGCCGCTCTAAGCCTAAGCTGGAGAAGACCATGGGAGCCCACGAGCACAGGGTCACTGGGTGCTGTGCTGTGGGGTACATCCCCATCAGCCCCAGAAGCACCACCTGTGCCTCTGCCAGGCAGGGGACACGGGACACGGGGGACACAGGCGCGGAGCTCGAGCCAGCCCATACTTGAGGCCCTCCTAGTGGTTCAGCAAAGTGCTTTATTAGACGATTCCTCCTGGAGGTCGAGGTCAGGCCCCGCTCGGAGCACCCCCACCTCACAGGGTTTCATCAGCTCAAGTGAAGCGTGTGATCACTCCTCCAAGGCCACGGCCAGGCCCCACTCGAGCCCCCCATCTCATAGGTCACTTTTCCAGGGGCGCGTAGTTGAGCAGCTTCTCGATGAGGTCCACGTGGGCCAACAGCATGCGGCGGCAACAGTAGCGCTTCAGGCCCAGCGCATCCAGGGCGTCCCTAAGGGGTGGGGGGTAGGGCAGCATGAGGCAGCGTGGCGTGATCTCCACGGGAGCCCCCATGAAGCCTCATCCAACCCCATCTCTGCCCCTCTCCGTACCCTCCCCCACAACTGCTACAGACAAGGGCTGGGCTGACCCCTGGATCACGGATGATGAAGTCCATTCAGGAGTCACCTGGGGATGCCCACAATGTGCACCCAGACTGGGCGAGGCTGAGCCACCACCCCAGGTTGGGGCCACATGGGCCTGCCTCCCACCTGCTCAGGCCATGCTCCTGAGCCCCTGGGCTGCCCCCTCCTGTATGTATCCAGCCTCCAGCTGATCCAGTTCCTGTTCCCCGCCCAAGCCTTCCTCTGCCCCTGCTTCTGGCTCCTCCATGGGGGCGCGGTGGCTCTTGGGGCTTCCAAACAGCATTCGGGAGGGGAGGAGAGCTCAGAAGACCAAGGCCCGTGCCCGGCCGGGACTGCCAGTTCATCGTGAGGGACAAGAAAGTAGTCCAAGTGGGAACAGCTGCTCCCACCAAAGCCTCTGTGCTTCCTGGCCTAGCACAGGCCTCCCACCGTGACTCTGTCCCCCATGGCTCCCCCTCCTCACACAGGAAAATGCATCACTGTGACCTGCAGACCTCGAGGTCCCTAAGAGGCACCAGGCCAGAGCGTGCCCCACTCAGCTGCTGCAGGATCTGTCTTCAGCTCTCCTCCCCCAAATCAAGGGGACCTCACATGGAGTTTGAGAACTGGGGTCTCATCCACCCAAGCCCTCCAACTTGACCTCAGGCACCCTAACCAGGAGACCCTCCAGGGGGCAGCATCTCCCATTACCTAAGCCATGAGAAGCCAGGATTGTTGGCACCGAGTGTATTCCCAGTCACCTTCCAGATCCCCAGAAACTCACATCATTGGCTCTAAGGTGCAGAGATGGCAGCTAGGGACAAGGGGAAGCCAGACCGGGAGGCCCCCTGCCCGTGGTGTCCCTGGGAGAGGGGCAGGGGGAGGCCAGACCGGG